GGAGGGAGGGAGGGAGGGAGGGAGGGATGATTGGCATTTCGGCCGTATGCCCCTCCTATGATGGGACATCAGTGGCACCTCCCCATTCCCCCCAAACCACCCCCTCCGCACAGTGACGTGCATACCATGAATTGCGGCCGAAAGCCCCCTCGGAGTGTGGAAGATAAACTGACTCCGGGCGGATTGGTCATGGTCAGGGCCTGTGAGGCGGAAGGAGGAGGGAAACGGGTCGAGCATGGGCAGGAATTATTTCTGGTCTTTTTAAGTCCAGAAATTGATCTGTCTTTGCCTTCCATTCATTTCATACAAGCTGGAGCCACACGAATGGGTTTTTCGGTTTCCAAGAGGAAAAACAAAACAAAACAAAACAAAACAAAACAAAACACCATGTCCGAGAGACGTGGGCCTAGGGCAAGGGGGGAAGGACAAAGGGAAAAATCACGTGCTATTCCCGTGCTTCGAACGCGGACAGTGGACAAGCCTACGCCTGGAAGGATGTATACAAGGCCGAAGTTGGCTGTTTGTGGAAGTATCAGGCAAAGATCCTGATGCTTCATTGTTTTTGTGCAGGAATTTCCATCCAGGCGAGGAAGGGTGGAGACCATGCAGGAGGTTATTCGGAAGCTTGCCGGTCTGAATTTTTCTCCTCCCCTTTCCTTTTTTCCATTATTTTATCTCACTTTGCCCCTAGGAACAATCTATGGTATGGACAAGCCGGCGCGCGAAAGGAAGGCACCCTCATGGCCCATGTTCCCCATTACTCTTACCCTCACCATAATCACTCTCTCACTCATGTCCTCATGCTTAAGCTCACTTTTACCCCAACACTTGCTCTTCCTTCGGCCTTATCCCCACCATCACACCTCACCTGTCTCAAACGTGCCGCGCGCGGTCTCGATGGTCTCCGCTCCGGCCATGTTGCTCACCTGAATTCTTTTTTTCCTTTTCGCCATGCCGAAGGCAGCAATCATGGAAAAGTCTCTTGTTATCGGGGAGATTAACGTCATCGGAATAATAATTCTTGTTTTCGGTGCTCTGAACTTGGGCATGGTTCTCCTTAGTCCTGACAACTTCTGCCTCTACAAAGTATTGGCGGCCAGAGCGAGGCTCTGCGTCGGGACGGGGAACGAGCGAAAGTTCATAGCGGCATACAGCGTGATAATCATTGTTGTCGGCACGCTGATCATGCTTCGCCTGTTCTAAGATGTTTTTGTTCATGCTAGAACAGAGCACGGTGGAACATCAACACATCCATAAATCCCTTTCTTGCCTCAACAAGGGAGGTGAAGGCGGGGCGGCGGAGATGCCCCGTGCTCTGTTTTACATGACTCTCGGAGAGGGGTCGGGGGAGAAGTATGATTGATTCGAGTAGAGTACCAAGTGTAAATGCGAGGATGTTCTGCAAACAAGCACGTTCAGGAAGGGGTGTGATTTGTTTTTGGGGGGAGGGCAATTCTTAGGATAGAAATGGGAACTTTTAAATTCATGTTGGATGGATCTTAAAATTTTTGCTTCATTTGCTATCTTAGTTTCTCTGACTAGACTGGTACTATATATACATGCTTCACGTCTGTCCCCCGGTACATATAATTCTAAACGCACACGCAAAGCTCCAAAAATTACGTTTCAGCTGACCGCTCGACCAATGTAAATGCCTGAGTATACGCGAAGGCGTCTTGGACTTGCGAGGTCACCACGATGGAATAGTCTCCTGTGAGGTGCTTTGTCTTGGACACCCTCCACGTCCATTCCTGCGAAGGGCCCAAGGAGTGTAATGGCAAGGAAGCAGTGGTGGGCGGGGGGGAGATTGGGAGAAGGACATGGCACGGACACTGCCTCCAAGCCTAACACATTTCTACGGCGTCTGAGAGCTTCCACGTTTGAGGCCCTGCGGACGCAGGCGGAAAAAGCCTCGGCCTGGGCGGTGGAGGTGAAGAACATTTTAGGCTACAGTTCTGCTCATGTCTTCTCGGACGTGATCTACGAGGAAGCGACGGGGAGGGCGGCGGATCAGGAGGGGGAGGGGGCGACGTGCCCCCAGTGCGAGAGCACCAATGTCCTCTTCTATCGACGACAATCGTACAATGAAAGCAGCACATGGTGTGAGGAGGAGCAAGGGGTCCCAATAACGATGAATTGTTGAAGCTGTGGGAGTGTACAATCTCTCCGGGAGGGGGAATGAGGAGAAGAAGCACAAAGAAGGGAGAGGTCGGGAGGGGGTTGCTTAAAATGTTGGTTTGTAAAGGGTTTGCACTGCTTTGAATAAGTGTCGATATCTCGGTTGGTTAAGGCTTTGAGTGACTGAATAAGTATTGATATCGGCGTCTGTAAATGGGATTGACAAATGGGCCTGTCTCCTTCCCCACAAGGAATGGGAAGAAGAATCATGTCTTTCAAGCACATAAGTGAACTTCGGCATCTTAATGGCTCCATCCAGTCCACGATAGGATACGACTGCAGGATGGGATAGCATGTTTTAGTTTTCTTTACTCTTCTCTATAGTTGTTTGTTCTTCCACCTTCTCCATCTGGGATGGGGACCCAAAATGGATGAAGAAAAAGGCAGTGAAAAAACGCTGCACCACTCCAGTCGTTTGTCCTGTGATTCCTCTTGCTTCTCGAACTCATAAGGCGACTTTCCCGGTCTTCATCGATGAGCCCTTCGATTGTTGACCACCCCCTATGCCCTCACTATCGAGGAGGCGGGCGTAGGACTGCATACGACTGTGCGTTCTTCGAGTACGCTACAGGACTGTGGTTAAGGATTTATCATAACGATTCGATGGTGAGCCTGGGCAATGAAAAATCAACGACGACTCGTGCAACACTACTTACCATGTAGAATAGCAAAAGCATCTATTAACCCCAATAATTGTAAAGAAGAAGATAGGCTCCAAATTCGAAGGGCTGTCGAAGCACTTCCGCCAGCATTCTTCTTTACTTTGAACATTGTGCGCACCCATGACAGCAGTGCCGCACACTAAATTTGCGGGATACTTGACCAAGGGATCATCGGAGAACGACACGTCTATGCCCCAAAGATTCTCGTCACCCATGAGCGCCATGCATTTGGAGAAGTCTTGGTTCAGACAGAAATTCGGAACGGCTCCGAAAGTAATGGTTCCAAATGGATTACCTTCATGGCTTACTCTGTCGGCGATAATATCGCATGGGCCTCTAATTATATCATAACCTCTAAATGCATAAAGGCCTCCGTATCCAAAGCCTAGGGGACTATTCCATGCGTCGTAGTCATTTTGACACGTCTTCCTAGCGTCTGACCTGTAAAATGACTGGTCCAGCTTGACGAATTTACCTTGCTCATTTGTCTCTCCTAGATAATTCTCCCAGTCAGATGTCATCATCATCACGCCCCACTTGTAATTGCAGCTACTCGTAGAACAGGTTTGCGAGAAGGGCCATCCGTGTGCTGTTGAACTGCATTCCGTTTCGGCCGTTTCCATTACTTTGGCGAGAAAAAGCGCACGACTTTGTACTGCAAACACCTTGGAAGATAGGTTGTCGATGGCACTGTTCCAATAACACCTTTCATTGATGACGCTTGGGTCATATTTTTCAGGATCGCAATACGAGGAAGACTGGAAGAGCACTATGCTCTGCGCCATGAAACTCATCAGCTTTGTAGCCATCTGGAGATAGGCATTCGCGAAAGCATTCAAGTTCTTCCAGTTGGTCCTAGCATCCGTTATCTTATTCTTGCATTTGTCCAGAAGGTTGTTTCCATCCTTTAAGAGTTCAGATGTCAAGACGTTACACATGCTATCGCACTCGCTGACCCACTTATTGATGTTGGTGCGCAGTCCATTTTCGTTGGAGCCAAACCAAGTACTGTACTTTGCATCGATACTCAAAAGTGCCGGCTGATATGTGCCGGTCCATGTTGGCTGATACTCTTGCCAATACCACAAAGAAATCTGTTGGAATTGATACGCAAGTCTCGTGAGTACAGGTACTCGAAGAATACCCACCACACTTGCATGCACGAACAGGACCCTGTGACTCTGCGTCAGTGACGCAATAACGCTTTTTTGATGACTTGTCCCCGAGTGACCTTACCTGCTTGTCGATGGATTGCTGGCCTGCAGCACCCTTCTGTTTGGCAATATTTCCGATGCAGCCTATGCGCCTGACGTAGCAGTCGATGTCAAGCTGCAAGAAAGCAGTGAAAGATGCGAGCACTTCAACGTCTAAGGATGCAGTGAAGCTTCTAAGTGCTTTGTTGACCTCCCCCTGGATAATGGACGGGGTGATGGTCCTGTCTACTACGCTTGCGAAGCTACTGTCCAACGCCAGGGCAGAAATGAGAAGACCGACGGACGCCACTACCGTTAAAGCTATACCCACAGGGGGGAAGGCGGCCCCGACCACAAAGGAGAAGGAGAGAAACATGTTCGACACGCCTGATACGATGTCTCTTGAATCACAGCCTTTGGATTTCGATTTGCATTTTTCAATGAAACTGGAAGCCGACGTTGCAAGGCCCGCAGCGCCCTTGAGGTAGTCCTTCGCATCTATTCCTCCTTCCCTCTTGCCCTCTCCATTCTTGTACTGCCAAACTTTCGCATACCTCCTCAGGGTAGGTTGAACATTACCTCCCGGAGCTGGACTTGGGCCGGGGGGGCCTCTTTCGACAACGGACGCAGCGAAACTAACCCGTTTTGCAGATTCCTCCACGCTTAGAAGAGGCTGGAAAAAATTCTTCTCAGTCGTTACTGAATCACTCCGTCTTACAGACTCCTCCCCATCGTCGATGAAGATGGAGCATAGCTCATAGGTCAAAGATGCGCTCCCATCGGGATCGATGACAGGGAAGAAAGCTGAGAGAGGTGTAGCCTTAACCTGTTCCGCTGACTGCGCGAGCTCGTAGACGACCATGGTCGTCTTGTCGTCTTGAAGACTGATCTCCTGCGATTTCAGCACGATAGATATGAGTGGCCCTTCAAACGATGCTTCCGACTGGTTGTTGTACACATTGAAGGTGAAGCCAGCGTTTGGTTTCTCGTCTGCGAAGATCTCGTCAAATAGGTATCCGACGAAATAGCTCGTTGGCAACGTAGATGCGTACCGGAAGGGCTTATCCGAGAACATGTATGTGTCAATATCCATATCTGACGACTTAAGGTAATACCTGCCCGCTGTCATCTCAAGAGTGCAGGATTGCGCCATCTGAATAAACAAGAAGCTCGGTGCATTCAAGGTAGCCTGGGTTTCCTGAAGGCTTGCCTCACACTCTTGAAGCTTCTTCTTAAGCTTTCTCTTACTGATAAACCTTCTCTGACGCCGTTGCTGGAGCATGTCGCGTTTCAGGGCATGGCTTCCATCAGTGACATTATCAAATGTATCCTTACATCCTGGCGTTCCCACAGATTTGAAGCCATTGTTCTGGTTCATGGCGGTGCCGAGTTGACGTCGAGGGCGATCTGCACGTTGGAATGCGGTGGACATTGCAAACCTTTCTGCCATCATTTCGAGACTGCGATGTCTTTCCCCAAAAGTGGTGCCGAGGCTTCGAGATCGCATGCCAGAACCGGTAGACGTTTGCGGTTTGACCATAAAAGGCCAGAGTGCCATGAAAAGACATAGAACGAGGCGATGCACCCTCCTGAGGGGCGCCATGTACCAGGTATTCCAATGCAGAGAACAAGCTTTCTGTAATGACAACTGTTTATATTGCAAGTGTAAACATGGTGACAATGTTTTGACGTATCAGTATGGGCCGGAATGCCCCCATAACCCTTACCCGAGAGGTGTAGGAAGCGCGAATCTTCTTCAACCCTACCCATCAAGAGATTCGGTTTCGGCGAAGAAGAGAAGAGAAAAATTATTCGAAGAGAAACTTTTTTTTCTTAGCGCAGAAAGTCATGCCCGACATAGACGAAGAAATTTTCCTTTTTTTTCAAGAAACAATATTCTCTCTACTTGAAGAAAGACTTTTTTCCTTGGTCTCCTGACCAGCTACACAAGAAAGCTTTTCATCCTCAAGGAAAAAAAAATATTTACTTTAAGAAAGGATTTTTTTTCTTCATCTCCTGACCAGCCACCCACGAAAAGTTTTCTTGGGAAGAGAAAACGTTTTTTGGGAAGAAAAGAAAATAATTCTTCTCAAGAAAGCATTTGTTTCTTCGCAAGAAAGGAATACATGAGTTATCGCCATAAAAGGAATCAAACTTTCGGGCAACGATACTGAACTCTTGTCTTGTGGTAAAAAGTAGTCTGGTGCTCTGGGATGGCCTAGTTTGTGTGAATCGAAGTGGCGGTATTTGGTGGCCAGGAGGTCGTCAGGGTGCCGTGTTGCAGCCAGGAGATGCTGCGCGATAGTGCCCTCATCATCGACAGGCCGCACCTCGTGGCCCGACGCCGACGTCGCCCCTCTGTTCCGTTTCCAATTTTACTCCCGGTCGAAGTCGTGGCTCCCACGGACCTGAGGGCGCTCGACTCCTCGGTCACTGACTCACCAGGCTCATCGAAGGTTCCCACGATGCGCGTAGAGGAGCTCGAGAGGGAGCTCAACTTCATCAAGTCCTACGACTGAGAGGATCGTAGTATTATCCTGTTGGAGTGGGGTTTGAGTGTTCATACATTTAGGTTTAGATTAATTGTACTAAATGGTTAAGGAATTTCAGAGGATTCAATTGATCAGTGGTTCATCCGTTGGCGCACTTTGCTCCGGCTTAGGCGGCTCTTCTATGTCTGCAGCCATGTGCCCATAGCTTTCTCGCATTTGGGGCTGACTTTTCCCAATTTTTCTTCCCGAAGAGAATATTTCTTCGGATGAAAAGAAAAGAGATTTTCTTCTTGTAAAGAAAAAGGGCGCGCAGAGCATTGGAAAAAGTTTTTCTTAACCCAGGAAAACAACTTTTCTTCGAAGAACAGTCAATTAAAGTTTTTTTTTCTTTCTGGGTCATATTGTGCTCTTCTACGGATTTTCTTTTCTTACTTCTTAGAAGAAAAATACCTGTCTCTATTCTTCATAGGTGTGTCCTCAACCCCTGGCAACGGTTGATTAATTTTATTAATGGCATGTAAGAAACAGATGTTAAAAATACCCCTCACAATCAATCCTTGCTGAGCATCTAAGTGGCTCCATGCGAATTTCTTCGTTATAATCCTTTTTCCCCTCGATGTATGTGGTTTGGACAGGGTCAGGCTCCGCGATGACAATTCAGGTCTGAGGTGTGTGTGTGCGCTCACGTCGGACTCACCAGCTTCATCCTCATAACCTTAGGATTTTGAGGATATGTACCATCCTTCCCTTCCTCTTTCCTCCTCCTCCTCCTCCTCCTCCTCTGAGCAGCTCGCTTCTTTCCCTTCTCCATCCATCTTCCTCCTCATGCTTTGCGTTGGGAAAGCAGGAAAAAGGGAGGGAGAGGGCGGGGAGGAGGGCGGAAAGGAGGGCGAAGGGGAAGGAAAGGATGTCGAGGCAGTCAAACATCCTTCCACACATGCGAAGGGCAGACAGGAGGGACAGGGGGAGGGCGCGGATAAGGGCG